CTTGAATTCCACGACTACCTCAAGGAATGAGGAATAGTTTCGCAATTGACGCCGCCTATGACACCGCAGTTGAATGGTGTGGCTGAGAGGCGTAATCGAACCTTATTGGACATTGTTCATTCCCTGATGAGTCGTGCTTGACTACCTATCTCCTTCTGGGGGTATGCCTTAGAGATTGTCGCCCATATCCTTAACTTAGTCCCTACAAAGAAGGTTGCCAAAACACCTCACGATATCTGGACAGGGAAAGCTCCCTCATTGGCACATATCAAGGTTTGGGGTTGCGAGGCTTTCGTAAGATGAGAGACTCACGACAAGCTCGAACCTCGTAGTGAGCAGTGTATTTTCATCGGCTACCCGCAGTAATCGTTTGTATATCTCTTCTATAGACTGAGTAACAATGTTTTCTTCGTTACGAGGAGAGGGGTTTTCTAAGAGCCAGAATTCATAAGCCAAGTGGACAGTAGGAGGCAAATCGATCTTGAAGAGATTCAAGAGTCGAGCGATGAAGGAACCTCTAACGCTGGCGCTCAACCCGAGGAGGAAACTCCAATGGAACCGATTGACGAATTCTTACATCTTAGATGTTCCGAAATAGTTAGATTTCATCCCCAGTTATATGGTTTTCATGTTACTACAGAAGGGGACACGTATATTAGTGATAGTACACTAATAAATATAGATGAACCTAACAACTATAAGGAAGCCATGGCAGGACCGGAGTTTGGGGAATGGAGAGAGGCAATGGATAGTGGGATTTAGTCCATGTATGACAACCAAGTTTGGAATTTGGTTGACCATGTGCCTGGACGTAAGACGATTAGGTGCAAGTGGATCCTTAAGAAGAAGGCCAACATGGATGGGAATGTGCACACGTATAAAGCGCGATTGGTTGCGAAGGGCTTTACTCAAACTCCCAGAGTTGAAAATGATGAGACCTTCTCACCAGTTGCCAAAATAATGTCTATTAGGGTGATGCTAGCCATTGCTGGATTTCATGATTATGAAATATGGAAAGTGGATGTCAAAACCGCTTCCCTTAATGAGAAGTTGGCTGAGGATGTTTACATGGCTCAACCAGAGGGTTTTGTCAATGCGAAGCATCCCAATAGAGTGTGCAAGCATCTCGCAGATGGAATCTTTGCGTCGATGAGAAAGTCAAAGATTTTGGGTTTGTACAAAGCGAAGATGAATCATGTGTATATGTCAAAGCCAGTAGGAGTATAGTTAGCTTCCTCGTATTGTATGTCGATGACATACTGCTCATAGGAAACGACATCCCGACACTACAGGAAGTTAAGTCCTTGCTCGGGAAGTGCTTCGCTATGAAGGACCTCGAAGAAGCTTCCTATATTTTGGGAATAAGGATAGTGAGAGACCGAAGTAAGAGACTAATAGGACTTAGTTAGAATAATTACTTGGACAAGGTACCAAAATCGATTTAGTATGGAAAACTCAAAGAATGGAGAATTACCAATCCAAAGTAATTCCAAGTTGAGTAAGACTCAAAGTCCGAGTACTGAACCCTAGATAGCAGCGATGAGACGAGTACCTTACGCTTCCGCAGTTAACTCGATTATGTATGCTATGAATTGTACTAGGCCTGATGTGGCCTTCGCTTTGATCATGGATAGTAGATATCAAGGGAACCCTGGCAAAGCACATTGGACAGCAGTCAAGAATATTCTTAAGTACCTTCGGAGGACAAAGGAGTGGTTTCTAGTCCTCAGAGGGAGTGATGACTTAAAGGTGAGAGGGTATAGTGACGCCAGTTTCCAGACCGACAGGGACAATTACCGTTCACATTCGGGCTGGGTCTTTACCCTTAATGGAGGAGCAATGACTTGGAAAAGTTCCAAGCAAGAAACCGTAGCTTGTTCAACATGCGAATCAGAGTACATCGCAGCGAGAAAAGCATCAAAGGAGGAGATATGGTTGAAGAACATCATTGGAGACCTTGGAGTTGTACCTACCATAAAAGAGCCTATGCAAATTTTCTATGAAAATGAAGGAGCGGTTGCCTTGACCAAGGAACTGATTGATCATGGTAGATCTCGACATATCGACAGAAAATATCACTTTATTCAACATCGGGTAAAAAGAAGGACTCCTCGTAGTAAAGAGGGTATCATTAGAGGATAACCGAGCAGATTCACTTACAAAGGGACTAAATGGGTTAAGCACTTGCAGCACGCTAGGAGCATTCGGCTGAAGGACGATATTAGTTTGGATTAGATAGGTTAGAAACGTGTAATAGATAAACGTAATTTACATTTGATGATTAAATAAAGGAGTATTATTTATAACTAAAGTTACTGTCTTATGTTAATTGTTTAACTATTGTTTCACTTTGCATGTTTTGACTTCCTGAATAATTGAGTTAATTAAGAATAATCGAATTATTCAAACAGTCCACAGTCGTTCATATGTTGGAAGTAAGTATGAATGAAGACTGTCATGAATTGGTGTGTAGATTGTCTGAAAGGTATTATACATAGCAAAGGTTTGCTACAACGTTCATGAGTGCTTATGAACAAGTTTTGAGCATTGGAATAAACCCGCACTTGTTGGAATCACTTCATGAAATTTATCACGAGTGATCGCAAGACGATAATATCATATGGTCTTAAAACCAAGATATATGGTTTATTGTTTGCTAATTGGTTGTGCATTGATAATGCAAAAAACGCATCAGTAACTTGATGTCATAAAACACATTGTTGTGTATAATTTGATTAGTGAATAGTAAGTGCATATAAGTCCAAGTCTATTTGTTCCTTTTATCCTAAGAGGGTAAAAGCGATATCAGGGCCGCTCGATGATTTGATTTGACATATGTGTCGGGCCCGGTCAGGACTGAATTGATGTGTTCAATTAAGTTTTATGTCAAATGAATCTGAGATCAAGAAACAAACTGTTAGACCATAAGTATGACTATGTTCCATGTGATTGTCCACATGGTATCTAAAATAGAGGGTTGTACGATCCCTTATCTAAAGGATAGGTTGCTGATAAGATCAGAGTTTGACAACGTCTTTGGGAGCTACGATTGCTAATCGAGTTATGCTTGCATTTATGGTTACTAGGCTTATCCAAGTGGGAGACTATTGGATTAGTGTCTAAGCTCGTAACCATATTTGGTAAGTACTAGACCCGGTTGTGCATGGTCCTTTTGGGTTGCCTTTACCAAAGCAACTTGACTAGAGAAATAATAGAGAAATAGGTTATTATGATTTCTTAATATATTATAAGAATAATATATTAAAAGAGAAATCATATTTGTTTAATTAATATTGGTCAATAATTAATTAAGAATTAATTTTGTGATCAAAAGTAATTAATTAAACTAGATGGGCTGAATTGTAATTATGTGATAGTTGCAAATTAGGGCAATGGATGCCCTATGGATAGGGTAGACAAATTCAAGGGGATATGGCCCTAGAATTCGTCCAAGGATAAGGCTTCTAGACTTATCTTAAGGGTTGCTTAGTGGGAAAGCAACCATATAAGGATAAGAACTGAAACCCTAATCTCTACCCTATTTAAGGACCCCTTAGCTAAGGGAAATCAGACACTTGATCCCTAGAAGACCTAGAGCTGATTTTTTGCCTCACCATCTCTCTCTCTCTCTCTCTCTCTCTCTCTCTCTTGCCTCTCCATTTACTCTTGGTGTTTGTGAGCCATTAGAGGTACTACACTTGTGGTACTTGCTTTCAAAGACAAGAAGATTGATGATTTGAGTTGTTATTACAATATAACAACAAGAGGTATGTAATCCCTTCTACCATCTTAAATTTCAAAATACCTAGGAGCATGCTAGTGTTCTTCTTGTGTTCATAATGTTGTGTATCTAATTGTGAAAACATAGATCCAAATCTAGGGTTGCAAGCATACATATGATTGTTTGTATAAAACACATCAGTTTATACACTAATAGTAGAGCTTTCTATCCTTTTTAAGTAACTTTTATCAAGAACGCTATCAGTAAAAGATATGAAAGAAGTGAAAGCAACCATTATTAAAATATTGTGCAAATTTGAAGTGATTTATCCTCCTGCATTTTTTGACATTATGGTTCATTTAGTTTTGCATTTACCTGATTAAGCTATTTGCAGAGGCCCAATATGTATGAGATGGATGTATCCCTTCGAAAGGTATATGAAAAAACGAAAAAACTATGTCAGAAACAAGGTGAGGCTGGAAGGTTCTATAGTTAAGGGTTATGTCGCTGAAGAGGCATTATTATTATGTTCGATGTAACTTGAAGTTGTCGAGACTCGATTCTATCGCCTCGAAAGAAATGAGGATGTTGTTATGAAAGAAACAATGTTATGGGTGTTTCAGTCTAAGTGTCGACCGGCTAGCATAAAGAAAAGGAAAAATTTCAGTCTAGAGGTGAGAAAACGTCAACAATGGTTTGCGCTCGATAGTTGTGACGAAGTTAGAAAGTGTATTGCATAAGTGTTCTTATCTTTAATTCATTTTCTACTTTTAATTTATCAGTTTTTACTATATATATATATATCAACAATGTAGTGAATTCAAATCATTACATCTTGAAAGTGATGAAAAAACCGAATTTCTTAAATGGTTCCTTCACAGCATCTATGATATGCAAAAACAAAGATCTCTAGCGTTTAACAAGGAGTTGTTGACTCTTTCAATTGGTGTGCATGCGAATGCCTTTACTTATATCGGTTGCATAGTGAATGGTGTTAGGTTTATGGTACTTACGCGTGACGCCCAACGATCAACAAAAAGCTTGGGGGTTCTAACCGAGGGAAAGTATAAACAAAAATATTTTGGTCAGTTAGAAGAGATTATCGAGTTGCATTATCCTCATAAAATTCCACTGTTCTTTTTCGTTGCAAGTGGTTCAATACTGCAAGAATTAAATCTGACGGCCTCTAAAGGGTTGGCATGTTCAAAAAAAGGTACAAGTTATTTACAACTAACGACCTCTAAAGGGTTGACGAAGAGGCATGGCAGTAAACAAAAAAATGTACAAGTTATTTGAAACTAACGGAAAACAGCCTCTAAAGATTGTATTTGACATAAATACTCACATGTCGATTGGGGAAGTATACAAATGTTTCATTCAGGAGGTTGGGAGCTATATGTGGCGCGACATTGGTTTCGATAAGGACACATGGATAGACGTTTTTGAAGCCGAAAGGGTAGGCATGTTCCAGTGTGTTTCAACAATTATTTATAAAGTTATATATTTAATATGTTTAATTTTGATTTATTTTTAATTTATCTAGTTTTTTGTAGATATGGTCTGATTTGGGAGTGATTACAAATTATCCCATGGCTCCAGTTTATTGGGCGTCACTGAACAATCGGATATGTGCGTCGTATAGAGGCCGCAAAAATGTTGCAAAAACTTGTTTGACTGCTTTTGAAGGGGGTGTGGAGGCAGCAAGGGCTCAAGCCACTGCGGGTATGGATCTGCAACGTTGGAATGTTGCTATTGGCCACTTCTTAACAAAAAAGCATAAAAAATGATTCGATGGATACAAAGAATGTCGGAAGAAGCAAGTAATTAAGAATCGCAGAGGGACGTACAGCTACGGTAGTGCTTGTTTTAGGAGCGTTAGTTACAATAATGCTTATTCAATTATAACATATTTTTTAATGTTTATTCAAGTATAACATATTTTGTAATGTTGTACATAATTTGAATAGACTTGAAGCATTTCATTATGGACGAATGAATAAAAAAGGGAATTTGTTGATCGTTTGGTTGAAGACCAATATGTAAGTTATTATTACTTATAAGTAAAGTAGATTGTTTTTTTGTGTGTTAGTTTTAACATATATTGACAATCTTTGTTAAATACATAATGCCTTAGTTGCTGAGGTTACTCTACAGAATCATCACATAGCCGACTCCAGTGGTGATCCAGACACCATTGATTGGATCGCAACATTTGAGAGGGTGTTGGGTACTCTAAGGGACATGTGAAAGACATTGGGCCTAAACCTTCTTCAGCAGCGAGTACAAGTTTTCAATCCCAATGGCAGTCGCATTCATAAGCACCGCAACCAACACAGCTACTTGTTAAATTCTTAAAGAATTTGGTAGATTTGCTATATTGTTAAGAACTTGATGCATTTATAGTAATTTTTGGTAGTTTGGTAGTTTGTTAAATTGTTAAAGACTTGATTGATTTGGTGGTTGAATAGTTTTTTGAATTGTTACCGACTTAATTCATTTGTTGGTTTGATGGTTTGATAATTTGTTAAATTGTTAATGACTTAATGTGCTTGCTACTTAATGGTAGGATGTTGATGTGAATGCTTTTCTTCAAAACCTGGCATTTGTGATGACCATTGGAGACATTATCCGCTCATTTAAAAACCAACTCAACAACGATGGTAAAGACGCATACACATAGTATTTCTTGTTTTATGTTATGGTTGATGTTATTTGGGATTTATTAGATAAATTATGGATGATATATTAGATGTTTATTTGGGATTTATTAGATAGTTTATGTAATGTGCTATACTTGATGTTTTATGTAATGTGGTATGTATTTTTATTAAAGCTGCATTTTATAATATATACAAACTAATATCATACATAAATTGTTTTGTCAAAAAAAAAAAAACAATAACAATGACACCTTTAGGGACGACATTGACCAATTGCGACGACAACTGATTCCGGGAAGAGTAGCCGGAAAAACCTCAACCAGTGGCCGGAAAAGTAATAGAGACGATGGAAATAGGGACGACAATTACCATTTAGCAATGCCGAGCATTAGATACGACGCTATTTGCAACGACAAAGGAGTATCAGCTATGAGGTAATAGCGACGAGCCTTTAGCGATGACATGTCGTCGCTAAAGGTATTATCGATGATAGGTGGCATCAATTGTGATGATTTTTGTCATCGCTAAAGGGTATGTTTTTTTGTTGTGATAAGTCTCTCCTTTGTCCCTTTAGAAACCTCCTATAAATGTTCTAAAATGATTGGAGTAGATACAATTTTCTTCGAAGGGGGGGGGGGGGGGGGAGGATAAGAGAAAATTTTCTTCGAGTCATGGAAAAAGTGGTGAATACTAACAATAATGGAGGTCAGGGGATAGCTAGACTATGCGTTCCTCAGTAAGTGGTAGTGGAGATTTAAACAAGAAGATAATGTCCTTAAGACTGATGTGATTAGAGTAATTCATGGACCAGGCGGGAGCCTTGGGATAGTCCGTTTGTAGTGCCAACGAAGAGTATGGGGATAATTAGTCATATAAATCTTGACCTAAATTAGGTTAATATTCACCTTAGGAATTTGTTCTTAAATGATGCATCACATTGGACTTGGGACATGGAAGAGGATAGCGGTTTCTCTATTTCGTCCTTAAGCAACCTTATTTACAGTAAAAATGTTGATTGCAACATTTTGGAGATAATTTAGAACAAAATAATCACATGCCCTATGTGCCTTGTGCAACAAAACCTGAATTTGAAATGCATTTATTTCATTAATGTTTCACAGGAAAGGAGGTGCAGGCTCTTATTCATGCGTGGTGAAGTGATATTCCAGCCCTTGTTATATCAATGGAGGATCTGTTGCAGACTGTTAAGGTGCTTGCCAAAGACAAAAGGAACAAGATAAATGTTAGTGTGTGAAGAACATAAGATTTGTTATGAAAAGGTTTTTCAATGCATTCTAAATCTTAAGAAGATGGTACAATTGTTGGGTTTTGAGCATTCTAACACTCCTAAGTGTACATGAAACCCTAAATACCTTGGATCTATGTTTTCTCTATTATACATGCAATAAGAATATCCAAGGTATTATCCTAATCTAGCATACAAAACAATGAGTGTATCAAGATAGAATACATACCTCTTTGATGTAGAAAGTCTTCATGAAGCTTGAGTGCCTAGCCCCAATAGTGTGGAAGCCTCAAATGGAATCACAATCATCAAAACACTTAGAATAACTTGAGAGAGTTCTACACTTCATGAAATCGGCTAGCCCTTTTGTTACACTCTCTAGTGGCCGATTTTGTCAAGAATAATATCTTTATATAGTGTTACCATTAGGGTAAATCCTTAATTGTCATGGCTTTCCATTTCCTTGGATCCATGGGTTCAAATACACCATGGAGCATCCATGGACCATCCTATGGGTTTTAGCCCAACTTGATTATCCATGGAGCATTAGCCCACTATATAAGTATGGATGATTTACACAATCAACCCATATATTTAATTAGTCTTCTTTTGATCACTTAATTAATCCTAGATTAATTCTTGATCAATACTAATTAAATAATCTTATTATTCTTATTATTAATATACTAGAACTTATAATATATTAATAACCATAAGTGTCTTATTTCTCTCATTATAGTCTATCCAAGTGCATGATGGTATGCAACCCAAATGGACCATGCCGGGTCGGGTCAAGTCTTACCAATTATAGTTATGGACTTAGACATTAATCCAACAGTCTCCCACTTGGATAAGTCTAAAACTATTATTGCGTATGACTTCAGGAACCAACTGGCAATCGTAGCTCTCAAAAGCTTCTGTCGAACTCTGACCTTGTAGATGAACTCTGACCTTGTCAATGACTTGTCCATTAGATAAGGGATCATATAATCCTCTGTTCTCATGATATCAGCCGGACAAATACATGGAACAACGTCGTACTTATTATCCAGCAGTTTGTTTCCCGATTTTCGATTTGTTTGACAAAGAACTTAATCGAACACATCAATTCAGTTCTGACCGGCCGGTACATAGGTCACAACAAAATCATCGAGGGGCCCAGATATCGCTTCTATTTCTAGAAGGAACAGATAAACTTCGACTCATATGCTTGTTCTACTACTTGTTGAATTGTACACAAAGGCACGTTTTATAACATCAAGTTACTGATGCGTTTACGTGCAATCAATGCACAACCAACTCATAGGTAACAACTCATATCTCTAGGTTTGAAGATTTATATGATATTACCGTCTCACGATCACTCGAGATAAATTCCATGAAGTGATACAAGTGAGCGTGGGTTTATTCCAATACTCATAACTTATGAGCACTCATGAATGTTGTAGCAACCATTGCCATGACTAAACCCATTTAGCCATCTACAAACCCGATTCATGACAGTCTTGATTCATACCTACTTCCAACATATGAACGACTGTGGAGTGTTTAAATAACTTAGTCATTCGGAAAGAATAACCTAGCTATTTTGGAAGTCAAAACATGCAAAGTGAAACACAATAATAATCGAATCTAATATGGTCTCAGAACCCTTTTGAATATAAATAAAACCACTTTTATTTATCACCATATTGATTACACATTATTCAATGTTTCAAATAATCAACTTAAGACTTGAATAAAACAACAGTCGTCCCATGCTCCTAGCATGTACACTTTGTTTTCTAAACAATAGTTATGCCATACCCAAGTATGCACACTATGTTTGTCTATGATCCTTACATTGTGATGTAGATCAATTGAACATGATTCCAATGATACTCATTTCACAATCCCAAATCCTTATTGTAAATGCAAGAATTCCAAATTCATGTCATTTACTGAAATCTGTTAGATTCTAAACTTATATGCATTGATCCTCTTGTAATGATTATGCACGAAGTCAGAAGACTTCAACCATTACAGAGCATTCCAAAGGAGATCAGCTCCTTGGGAACATCCTTCTTGCATTAAGTTTCCTAATCTTACATAGATTGAATAACTTCCACCTATGGAGACATTTCCATAGTCCCATTTGACTATCACTTCCGAACAAGAGTTACCTCTTTTCAGAAAATGTCAATATGGTCCTACCAAAATTAACACTAGACTTCCAAATGTCCCTGAGCAACCAATCTTTGGCGAACCTCAGATTGTCCTCGACAATTGCTTAATCACTTTAGTCATATCCAGTTCTAGACTTTTCCCTTCTAAATGCCTTAGCATTTGGAAAATTTAGAAAGGATGAATATTATAGCACGTGAAATCGATCCTATATCCGAAGCATATGGGACACGATTCATGATGTTTGACATAAAGACATGATACTAGACCAGTCTTTTGCTACAATATTTTTTATTTGCCATGTTTTCAAAATTTAACTATGAAGAGGGATGCCGTAATCATAATCGAATTTTGAAAATGCAATATATATAGAATTTCTTCAAGTTGAACCATTCCAACACAAAATTCATATATATTCTTGACTAAAGATGATTAAAATCTCAATCTAAGCTTTAGAATTGAAATGAAGTATAATTTCCTCTCCTTAATTATAGCAAAACAACTTTTCAACCCCTGCAACTTCACGGATTGAAACTTTGTTTTCTATAATTAACATTGCTAGCTTGCAATACTAATCATAATAATCATGCTCCCACTAACATGATGATTATTAGCATAACACTTATGCTCCCACTAGCTCTGACATATTTTCAGAAATCTGCTGGACTTCTGAAATTTAGATTCATACATCCTTTCTTAGATAGCTCACATGTGTGTC